GAGAAGAGGACAGACCCAGGCTACACCCAGGACAGAGGAGAAGAGAGGACAGACCCAGGCTAAACCCAGGACAGAGGAGAAGAGAGGACAGACCCAGGCTAAACCCAGGACAGAGGAGAAGAGAGAAGAGACCCAGGCTACACCCAGGACAGAGGGGATCAAAGTTCAGGTCTGACAGGACTCTGACCCAATCTGTACACCACAAACAAGAGTCTCTGAACCCAACTTGTGCAGTTTCCAGCTCCCTCTTCAGCACCACTGCCGAGGCTGTAACTGATCCACTTCTTGGCCTATGAGCACAGACAAGGCCGGGCGCTGGGCAGCGCCGAGGAGGAGGGATCACGGAGGCAGACTCCAAGGACACAGAGAGCAGCCAACAGACACGACAGCTGAAGCCGCCTTTATTTCAACTCAATCCATCCAAAACCTCGCTTTCTCTCCCCCAGCCTGCAGCTGTGCACCCCACAGTCCCCTTAAGACACCAATGAGCAAATAAATTAAAAGGAAAACAAAGAGATCAGGAGTTAAAATCGCTTAAACTGTCAAACAAAATGTATACCTGGTACACGTATCAAAACACGTTCAAGCAAACGCACTGCGGTGATCAACTAAAATCTTTGTACACCAGAAGCATCACATCAGTTACAAACATGGCAAAAAAAATCTTTTCTCCATTTTTTTTTTTATTTGCACTTTACAGCTGGGAAGCCGCACACAGAGGCCGAGTGCAGCCTTCACAGGTTTCCCCACGCCACAGACGAGCCGCCGCCCCGTTTCCCACCCCCTGCCCCCCCGCCAGCTCACAGCACCCCTCCCTCGGACCCGGCTTGGTTCAGAGCGGCGTCGCTCTCCCTCCGGACCCAGGCAGGCAGGCGGGCGGGCCGCACGCTGGCAGGGGTCCCTGGGGGTCCACCGTGCGCGCTCTGCATGACCTCAGGGTCACGGGGCGGCCCCAGCGAGCGGGGTACAGTGCCCAGGACCTGTGTGAGCCCCAAAGATAAATAGGGAAAGGTCACCATGAGAGCCCATCTGGTCCCTCAGCCCCGCCTGACTCTGACGTGAAGTGGGTGAACCCCTACTTTGATAAGCTGCATGAAGGGATTATTGGGGTGCCGGGAGCTGCCCTGATCGTGGGGATCGCCCGCAGACCCGGCAGCGGTTCACAGGCTCCTTCTGCGCCATCAAGCTTCCTCAAGCGCACGGCACTGTTGGGGTTCAGACCCAGAATAGTATATTTTAGGGTCTGAATATGTGAAATTCCTAAGGGGTTCAAGACTTGTTCTTGGTCCTGCGCACAGGGCCCGACCGGACCGGACCGGGTCAGACCCCGTGGTGCTGCACACAGGGCCCGGCCGGACCGGACCAGACCCAGCGGCGCTGCACACAGGGCCTGGTCGGACTGGACCGGGTCAGACCAGACTGGATCAGACCCCACGGTGCTGCACACAGGGCCCGGCTGAACCGGACCGGGTCAGACCCCGCCATGCTGCCCACCGGGCCTGGCCAGACCGGACAGGGTCAGACCAGACCGGGTCAGACCCCGCCATGCTGCCCACCGGGCCCGGCCGGACCGGACCGGGTCAGACCAGACTGGATCAGACCCCGCGGCGCTGCACACAGGGCCCGGCCAGACCGGACCGGGTCAGACCAGA